ATTATAAATTAAATGTTGGTAACAAATTGGTAAAAAAAAAAAAAAAAAAAAATCGAACAGACGTTACAAAAAATGGTGGCTCTAAGTACCTTAGATTAGATTAGATTTTTTACTACTTACAAATTAAATTTGTTGCCGTTCTTCTCTGCTTTGTGTGAACAGCCTGCAGTTCATCCAAGAAAAAATTTCGATTTTTTTTCACATGACTGTAGTTCACAGCTGAGCATCTAAAAGCTTCACTATTCTGTTGAAGTGTAAAAGAAAAAAAAAAGTTTTTTGTGAAATTAGTTTATTACAAAGGGTTTATTTTTTGGTAAAAAATTTAAATGAGACATGTAGAATTAAGAGATTTAGAGAAATATCATGATTTTAACCTTGGATTTAGATAATTTTGCTGATGGAATGCGTTGTCACATGTGAGTACTTCAAGGACTGTCAGAAAGTTAAAAATTCCACAAATATTTCAGTTTTTACAGTTTCTTGCTCTGATGAATGGAGCAATTTTAGCATTTTCTTAAAAAAAACAGACACATGCCTGTCAAGCCTGCCAGCAGTGTTTGGAGTTCAGAGGGTTAAATCTACAAGGCGCTTCAATTAAACTCGACCCAGATTGATCAATGAAACTAGCGGTGTGACCTCTCTGTGCATCCAACCAGCGTTTCAGCAGCACTTCCCTCAGCGGGCCGAGGCGCGAGAGGGGCCGCAGGCATTCAAAGCACACCTCGAGCTAAGCCGGGACCTTGGAAATAGGATTTGTGGAGCTCACAACTGATCACTGCCCCCATTGAAGTCAGGCCCAGATTCGACGCTGGCAAACGTCAGCGGGTGCCAACACCACGAGCTATCTGAAGATGTGAAGGACTGTGAAAGGCATCGCATGAGTGTTTGCGGAAGCGGCATGTTCGCTCCGTCCAACCGGGTCACTTGGCTGAAGCTGCGCCCGCGGGCCTGGAGCTGAGGGGGTTACCGGAGACCGGAGAGGCACCGAGCTGCCATCCGGGCTCCGTGTCCGATTTCACAGGCTTCCCTTTATAAAGGTGGGATCCTCTAAAAAGTTGAACCTGCACCTCCTCCCCCCTGCAGAGGATTCACCAAAGCATCATGGCGAGCTGCCGCCCACGTCAGAGCCACATGAAGTGATTTACGCCCACAGAGGCATTCTGGTTGGGTCGTCTAAATTTGGGCAAAGACGCCTCGTTTTTTCGCATTTGGAGAAGCCTTTGGAGAAGGAAACGCTTGCAGAGCGATTATGATGACACATTGGAAAAGGAAGCTGCGGATGAAGCGGCATTTTAACAGCAGGCTGCCTCCTTCATGTCTCGCTTTTGTTGCTGTTGCAGAATTAAAACATAAATCGTGCAGAAGAATAGTTGTTTAGAAATTTGAGTTTTAATATTATCTCAACTCTCTGATCCTAAAACCTGCCAGTGTGCTCGAAAGGTGTGTTGCTTTTATGAAAACAAA